CTGAGACTGGTCTGGCAGTGGACACAGGAGAGGTGGAGTGAGGCCAGTGGAAGACGGGAGACTAAGAACCTGGTGAAGGGCCGAGTCAGGCGGCGACAGGGACGACTGCGGCTGCGGGTAGAAAAACGGTCGGGTCGGCGCAGTACCCGTACCGTCAGCAGCTCCAGCACCTCCAGCACCTCCAGCTCCAGCACCTCCAATAGCACCTCCAGCACCTCCAGCACCAGCAGCACCACTAGTAGCACCACCAACTCCAGCAGCTCCAACACCTCTAGTACGAGCACCTCCAAGACCAGCAGCACCACCACCTCTAGGACGAGCACCTCCAGGACCAGCAGCTCCAGTGCCTCTGGCACCAGCAGCTCCAGCACCTCCAGCTCCAGCAGAACCTCCAGTAGCACCTCCAGCACCAGCAGCTCCAGCACCTCCAGCACCAGTAGCTCCAGCACCTGCAACACCTCCAGTAGTACCTCCAGCACCAGCACCTCCAGCACTTGCAGTACCTCCAGCACCTCCAGCACCAGCAGCTCCAGCGTCTAGGTAACTCCAAGCTCCAGCACCAGAGCGGGCTCGCCGAACGACCCACTCACGAAGCTGCTGCGGCGAGAGTGTCTCGAGTCGACTAGGGGGCTGCTGTTGTCCAACACCGGGACCTGCAGCAGGAGCACCCACGGCCCCACTACCACTCGGACTCGCAGCACCCCCAGTCTCAGCACCCCCAGTCTCAGCACCCCCAGGACCAGCACCCCCTGCGTCCGCACCCCCAGTGTCACCACCCCCAGCAGCACCAGTGTCCACAGCTACAGGCTGCAGAGGTGGTGAAGACGGTCGAGGCGGAAAACCAGGAGGGGTCTCCAAGTGTGGAGAGCGACGAGTAACCGCCGTGTCGCCAGCGGCAAGGTCACCCCCCTCAGCCGGGCCAGTGGAGTCAGAAGAGATCTCCAAAGGCTCAACCAAGGGGGGTGAGTCTACCTGAGACACACCTGAGGGAGCAGGACCCTGTGGGGGGAGGGGGTCTATCGGGGGAGGAACTGGTACCAGGAAGAGAGGCGCCAGGGGGACCGGGTGGGACGCGTGCGGGTGGAGCCTGTAGAAACAGATTGACTCGTCAAAGGTGACGTCCTGGGAGGAGAACACGCGACGCGAGCGAGGGTAGTAAAACTGCCACGGCGGGGCGTCGGTGGGGAAGCCCAGGAAGGCGCAGCGGAGAGTGCGAGGAGAGAGCTTGCTCGTGGTGGTATCGCGAACAAGGGAGAGCGCGCCCCAGACCCGAAACGCCGACGCATCGCCAACCTTTCCTGTCCAACGGAGTGTGGGCGAGGTCTCTGGCAAAGAGACACGGGGCCAGAGGTTGAGCTAATGCGCGGCGTATCGGACCGCAAACGGCCACAGAAAATGGGGAGCAGCCGCATGGATCATGGAGGTACGAGCAACCTCCATGATCAGGCCAATGCGACGCTCACCAATCCCATTTTGCTGCGGAGAGGCTAGAAGCGTGAACGACTGGATGATGCCCTCGTCTCGACAGAACCCCGCAAGGAGGGCGGAAGAGAACTCACCACCCCTGTCAGAGTGCAGACGCAGGACTGGAAGGTCCCGCCGAAATCGCTCGCGCAGCTGGTGACGAGTAGCGCGGATCCAGGGGATCAAAACACCACTGACGTCCGCCTTGCTGCGCAAGGGGAAGACCGTGGTGTAGCGCGTGTAGTCGTCAACGACCAGCAGGAAGTAGTGCTCTTGGTCCGTCCCACGGACGGGGGCCGGGCCCCACAGGTCCATGTGGAGAGTCTGCAGAGGAGGAAACGAGGAGGAGTGAGGAGCAGCGCGCTGCCGCCCCTCGACGCAGGGAAGGCACGTCATGGCAGGCGAGCGTGGGAGGGGGGGCAGGGACCTGGGAAGGCCAGAGACAAGGAGACGCGAGTGCATGCTACGAAGGCGCGGCAGAGAGGGGTGACCAAGTCGGTGGTGCCAGAGGAGAGTCTGGTGGGAGAGTACCCGACACGAGCAAGACGCAGCGAACTGACCAGACGCAGACACCTGACCTGACGCAGCCACCTGTGCAGACGCAGTGGTCAGGGTGTACAGACTGGACCCAGGCTGACGAGTGAACGTAGCAAGGTGACGGCCAGTCCGGGAGCACGTACAGATTGCCACACGCTGTCCTCCAGGAGTAAAGGTGTCAACCCATACATCCTGAAGGACGGCGTTGCTCACCAAGTTCGTCGAGAAGGAGGGGAGGTGGAGACCTGGAAGTGAGCCAGAAGGGACTGCCGGACACGGGAGGACAGTGGAGGCTCGTGCGATAACTGGGCCCCCAGAGGGGTCAGCTAATGAGACCGGGACCGGTGCAGCGAGCGGTGTGACTATGGTGCAGTCTCGAAAAAGCAATGAGACGCACCCGAGTCAAGTGTAAAGGTGTGCAAGGCCTCAGCTGAGGCAGCAGACTCACTAGCACCTGTGACAGCAGACGCACTAGCACCTAGAGCGGCTGCAGACTCACTAGCACCTGGGGAAGGGGCAGCGATACCATCAGCGCAGGGCACACACAAGTAACAGGTACCCTCATCACTAATTACATCAACATACTTAGCATAGAGTGCCTGGTTGATCTTAACAAAATCAAGAGCAAACACATCTACTCCCTTCGCCATCAGCTGCGCCCAGTTGGGCACATCCTGCTCAACACCATACTCGGCCACCCAGGCATCCTCAAGACGGCCGAAGCAGTGATACTCCGTGTGCCCATTCTTCCCGCAGGTCTCACCCTTGTGAAGGCCTGTGCGCGTGACATAGGCGCATCGAGCAGTGCCCCCAGGGAAACCACGCTGGACAACCCACTCACGAAGCTGCTGAGGGGTGGGGTTGTCCAGGAGGCGTGGTGGCTGCGGACCACTCCCATAGCCTCCGCCGCCACGAGCTGAACACCCATAGCCTCCACCCCTGCCAGCTTCACCCCGACTGCCTCCACCACCCCCGCTGCCTCCACCACCCCCGCCACCCCCACCGCCTCCACTGCCTCCACCTCCGGTGCCACCTCCACCGACTCCACCCCCGCCACCACCACCCCCGCCACCACCATCGCTAGTGCCACCCCCACCACCCTTACCCCCCTTGCCCTTGCCACTGCGGCGCTTCCCACTAGGAGCAGACGCAGCGCCGACTTCCTCAGCACCAAGGAGGTCGACAGCAGCAGCAGTAGCAACAGAGGGTATGAGAGGGGAGGGAGCACACCCTTAAAAAAAGGGGGAGTGGGGCGTGCCACGAGATGCAGCGACAGCGACATCAGCCTCAAGAAGGGACTTCTCCAGCGAGGCAAGCGTGAGCTCAGTGGGGTCGAGGACGAGGAAGTGGTCCCTAATAGTGCGGAGGGAGTCAGGGAGGCGCGGCCGGAAAGAGCGGAACGACAGCCCCGATTCTATCGATGGTGACTCTAGCGGGAGTGACGAGGACGCGCGGGATGTAGCCCGCGGAAAGGGGAAAGCGCGGAACGCGCGGGGCGCGGGGGGAGATGGGCAGACGGATGAGCGGAAGGGCCGCGGAGGTCCGAGTCCGCTGGTAGACGACGGGGGAAGGCGGGGAGTGGGGAATCAGGGAGGGGGAGGCGGAGATGGGGGGGCGGGAATTGCGCGCCGCAGGGGAAGGCACGATTCGGACGATGAGAGCGACGAGGAGAGGGGCGGCAGCGATGGCGGAAGAGGAGGCGGAAGGGGTATCGGGAGAGGCGGAAAGGGGAAAACGCGGGGGGATCTCAAGGAGGAAGCGGAGGAGCGTGCGGAAATGAAGAAGAGTGTGGGAGGTCGAAAGGGGGAGAGGGAGCGTGAAGAAGACGAGGAGGAGGAGGGGGGTGAGCGGTGGGAGATGGGTGGGGGGAGGGAGGGGGCGAGGGTTGGGCGGAAGGAGAAGCGCGGGGAGGAGGGGAGGCGCGGGGGTCGCGCGGAGAGTGAGGAGCGGGAGGAGCGTGATATGGGTGAAGGGAGGAGGGGAAGAGATAAGGTGAGGGCGAGGGATAGCCTGGGGGAAGGTGAGCGCGAGCGAGATGTGATTAGCGGCAGGGAGGGCGGGAGGGGCAGGGAGAGCGAGAGGGGACGAGGAAGGGATGACGTGGATGGGAGGCGAAGGGAGAGAGAGGACGATGGTGGCAGGGATAGGCGAAGGGATGGCGAGATGGAGAGGGAGAGGGAGCGAGACGGCAGGAGGGGGAGGGACAGGTCAGGGCGGCACAGGCGGGGAGGGTCCGATTCGGATGGGAGTGAGAGCAGCGGCGAGTGGGAGAGGGAGCGGGAGAGGGGTAGGGGTAGGGGAAGGGATGATAGGCACAGGAGGCATGAGGAAGGGAGGCGAGAGGAAGGACGGCGAGAGAGGGGGAGAGGCGAGTGGGAGGGAGAGGAGAGGCGAGGTGAGGGAAGGGAGGGGCGGGGCCCTCCCGTGCGCGCACCCATTCCTGATGCTTCCGCTGCTGCTGCCCCCGCCCCTGCTGCCACTGCTGGCAGAGCTGCAGGCTCGGCAACAGCAGGTCTGGCAGGCCCGGCAGCAGGCAAGGCAGCAGCAGCGCGGGGCACAGGGCGCACGGGAGGCGCGTACATGCCGCCGTTCAAGCTGGCGCGCATGCTGCAGGAGGTGAACGACCGCAGCAGCGCGGAGTACCAGCGCCTCACGTGGGACGCGCTGCGCAAGTCCATCAACGGGCTGGTCAACAAAGTCAACGCCAGCAACATCAAGAACATCATTCCCGAGCTCTTTGCGGAGAACCTCGTGCGGGGAAGAGGGCTGCTGTGCCGCGCGTGCATCAAGTCGCAGATGGCCAGTCCGACTTTCACGCATGTGTTTGCAGCGCTGGTGGCGGTGGTGAATACCAAGTTTCCCGAGTTAGGGGAGCTGCTGCTGAAGAGGATAATTCTGCAGTTTCGAAGGGCGTTTCGGCGCAACGATAAGGTGAGAGTTGATGGCAAAATATGTCCGCTCTTTGGGAGGCGCCTGGAGGATAAAGCACGTGCATCAAGTCGCAGATGGCCAGCCCGACCTTCACGCACGTGTTTGCGCCGCTGGTGACGGTGGTGAACACCAAGTTCCCCGAGTTGGGCGAGCTGCTGCTGAAGAGGATTATATTGCAGTTCAGGATGGCCTTCCGGCGCAATGACAAGGTGAGGGGTGAAGGGAAAAAGGTGGTCTAGTCTCCTCCCCCTGTTCGCTGGGAACTTGTTGCTCGGGTGCTGGTGGACGTGGTGAATACCAAGTTCCCCGAGTTGGGCGACCTGCTTCTGAAGAGGATCATTCTGCAGTTCAGGCGGGCGTTTTGGCGCAACGACAAGGTGAGAGGGGAGGGAGGGGAGGAAGGGGAAGGGAGTAGGTGAGGGGAAACGGTGGACACGATGGTAGGCTGGTGGCGGTGGTGAGCACGAAGTTCCCAGAGCTAGGGGAGCTGCTGCTGAAGAAGATCATTCTGCAGTTCAGGGGGGCGCTCCGACGCGATGACAAGGTGGAGGGTGAATGGGAAAAGGGTGGCCTGCTTGTCCTGTAGGCAGGGAGCTTGTTGCGCGGGCTGGTGAGGGGAGACGGGGCACGTGACGGTTACACTTTTGTGATGGGCGATGCTTCACCTTCCTGCCCGCCTCCCGCCTCCTTCACAACCCAGCGTTACGTGGTAACCACCAGGTGGCGCTCCATGTGACTTCCAGTCTCTCCTCTCAATGTCTCTCCATCCCCTTGACGCTTCAACCATCTCCCATCCCCGCGCCCCCTCTCCCCACCACCACTCCTCCCCCTCTATCTCCTGCAGCCGGTGCTGGTGGCGGCGTGTCGCTTCCTGGCCCACCTGGTCAATCAACAGGTGGCCCACGAGATAGTCGCGCTCGACCTGCCTCCCCTCCTTGCCCCTTACTATATTACCAACCGCCCTTTCCCTACCCACCTCCCGCTCACTGCAGCGGGTGCTGGTGGCGGCGTGTCGCTTCCTCGCCCATCTCTGCAACCAGCAGGTGGCACACGAGATAGTCGCGCTCGAGCTGCCTCCCTCCCTCGTGTCTCAGCACCTCCCACCCCACCCACCCCTCCCTCCCCCTTCCTGCTGCAGCCGGTGCTGGTGGCGGCGTGTCGCTTCCTCGCGCACGTCTGCAACCAGCAGGTGGCTCACGAGATCGTTGCACTCGACCTGCCTCTCTTACCCACCTCTCTTAGCAATCTCCATCATTCCCTCCCCGCCCCTCCCCTCCTCCTTCCCCCCTCTTGCAGCCGGTGCTGGTGGCGGCATGTCGCTTCCTCGCGCACCTCTGCAACCAGCAGGTGGCTCACGAGATCGTGGCGCTCGAGCTGCTCACACTGCTGCTGGAGACGCCCACTGACGACAGCGTGGAGGTGAGGCCTGGGGGGGGTGGTATCTGGTGAGCTCTATGCCTGGTGAAGGAGGATATGGGCGCTTGAGCTGCTCACACTGTTGCAGGAGACCCCCACGGATGACAGTGTCGAAGGTGAGGGCTGGGAGAGGCGAGGGCTGGGGGAGGCGAGGGCTGGGGGAGGCGAGGGCTGGGGGAGGCGAGGGCTGGGGGAGGTGAGGCGTGGGGGGTGAGGTGGTATCTGGTGAGCATGGAAAGGTGTATCGTGCTGCCCGAGCTGCTCACCCGGCTCACCCTGCAAGCACACATGTGCCCGTTGCCCACCAGGTGGCAGTGAGCCTTGTGAAGGGGTGTTGCACCATGCTGCACGACCTCCGTCTCTCTCCCCCTCTCCCATCTCTTCCACACCCGATCACACACACGTCTACCCTTTCCACCCCCGACCACTTCCAACCACTCTTAACCACTCCCAACCAGGTGGCAGTGAGCTTCGTGAAGGAGTGTGGCGCCATGCTGCAGGACCTCTCGCCCCAGGGCCTTCACAGTGAGTGCTCTTGCCTTAGGCTTGGGCTTAGGCTGGGGTGAAGCCAGCGAGTTGCGGCCAGCCTCCACAGTGAGTGCTCTCGCCTTAGGCTTGAGATTAATCTTGGGAGAGCCCTGTGACATGGCCTCCACAGGGAGTGCCAAGTTGCTTGGTATGTGTGTGTTTTTTCAGTTGCTCTCCGTCCTCGTGCCGTTTCAGCCCTCCCATCCCATCAATCTTCTGCCCAGCGTACATTTGCCACCACCCGCTTCCCCCCTTCCATCAACCACCTTTTGTGTTGAAGTTTACGCGCTCGCGTACACATACGCTGCACAAGAGCCATGGAACCGATAAGCTCCGTCCCAATGCTCCTGTGCAGTGCAGTGTATGTGGATGCGAACTGATAATGCATGCTCCCTGCCAACTGAGTGGTGCGCACACTGATGCATCGCTGCACTAATTTCTGGCAGCAAGTTTCACAGTCTTGATCCTATTGCTAAGTGTTTACTACAGGTTTGCAGCTTCTCCGCGATGAGTCTTGATCCTTGGGCTACTGAATGCATGCTCCCCGCCGACTGAATGGTGCACACACTGATGCATCGCTGCACGTCCTGCCTCCCTTTCTGTTTTCCCTTTCAACCCCCCACCCCCAGGCATATTCGAGCGCTTCCGCGGCATCCAGCATGAGGGGGAGATCGACAAGCGCGTGCAGTTCACCATTGAAGGGCTCTTTTCTCCCCTCCTCTTTTCCTCCTCTCCACCCCTTTCCCTCCTCCCCTTCCCGTCGTCCCCCTCCCACCCCTCACATCGCAGGCATATTCGAGCGCTTCCGCGGCATTTTGCACGAGGGGGAGATCGACAAGCGCGTGCAGTTCACCATCGAGGGGCTCTTTGCCATCCGCAAGGCCAAGTTCGAGGTGCGTGGTTGGTGAGGTGAGGGGGCATGGGGAGTGTATGGGTGGTGCGTGTGTGATGCTGTGTGTGCAATTCACCACCGAGGGGCTCTTCGCGATTCGCAAGGCCAAGTTCGAGGTGCGTGTGATGGGGTGAGGATCGATCACCCATGGTGCTGTTGAGGATCGATCACCCATGGTGCTGTTGAGGATCGATCACCCATGGTGCTGTTGAGGATCGATCACCCATGGTGCTGTTGAGGATCGATCACCCATGGTGCTGTTGAGGATCGATCACCCATGGTGCTGTTGAGGATCGATCACCCATGGTGCTGTTGAGGATCGATCACCCATGGTGCTGTTGAGGATCGATCACCCATGGTGCTGTTGAGGATCGATCACCCATGGTGCTGTTGAGGATCGATCACCCATGGTGCTGTTGAGGATCGATCACCCATGGTGCTGTTGCGGATCGATCACCCATGGTGCTGTTGCGGATCGATCACCCATGGTGCTGTTGAGGATCGATCACCCATGGTGCTGTTGAGGATCGATCACCCATGGTGCTGTTGAGGATCGATCACCCATGGTGCTGTTGAGGATCGATCACCCATGGTGCTGTTGAGGATCGATCACCCATGGTGCTGTTGAGGATCGATCACCCATGGTGCTGTTGAGGATCGATCACCCATGGTGCTGTTGAGGATCGATCACCCATGGTGCTGTTGAGGATCGATCACCCATGGTGCTTTTGCGGATGTAGCTAAAGAGGTGCCTTAACCACAACTCGCCTCCATTCCAACCATCTCCCCTTCTCAGGACTTCCCCGCAGTGCTGCCCTGCCCAGGTGGGGGAGGGGGATCAGATCTTGCACGAGCTCTCAACATCACACGCGCACCCTGCTGGCCTCATGCTCACGTCTTCGCACCCCTCCCGATGCTCGTCTCTCCCCCGTCCCTCACTGACTGCATTGGCCTCATTGCACCCCTGCTGTTATTCACTCACTGACTGCATTGGCCTCATTGCACCCCCGCTGTTATTCACTCACTGACTGCATTGGCCTCATTGCACCCCCGCTGTTATTCACTCACTGACTGCATTGGCCTCATTGCACCCCCGCTGTTATTCACTCACTGACTGCATTGGCCTCATTGCACCCCCGCTGTTATTCACTCACTGACTGCATTGGCCTCATTGCACCCCCGCTGTTATTCACTCACTGACTGCATTGGCCTCATTGCACCCCCGCTGTTATTCACTCACTGACTGCATTGGCCTCATTGCACCCCCGCTGTTATTCACTCACTGACTGCATTGGCCTCATGCACACCTCCCCCCGCCCCTCCTCCTCCCCGTGTCTCCTGCCCCCTCTCAGGGCTTCCCAGCAGTGCTGCCCGAGCTGGATCTGGTGGAGGAGGAGGATCAGATCACGCACGAGCTGGCAACCTCTCACGCTCACCCTACTGGCCTCATGCTCACCTCGTGATCCCCCACCCACCATGTTCTCCTCTTCCCCCCTGCCCCCTTTTTCAGGGCTTCCCAGCGGTGCTGCCAGAGCTGGATCTGGTGGAGGAAAAGGATCAGATCAACCACAAGCTGTCGTTGCAGGAGGCACTTCGAAACAAACTGGCATCCTGTGATGCCCCCATTCCTTCCCCCAACAGGGATTCCCAGCGGTGCTCCCCGAGCTCGATCTGGTGGAGGAGGAGGATGAGATCACGCACGAGCTCGTACTCACGCGCCCCACCTGACTCATGCTCACCTCGTGATCTTCCACCCTCTCACCCACCATGTTTTCCCCCCTCTTTCAGGGCTTCCCAACAGTTCTTCCAGAGCTGGATCTGGTGGAGGAGGAGGATCAGATCACACACGAGCTCTCACTGGAGGAGCCGTATGACCCCGAGACTTCACTTGGTGAGCAGCCAGCTTATAACGAGGACGGGTTGCCTTGAGAGGGCAAGGGTGGTGGTGGTGTCTGGGTTAAACCTGATTGTTGGTTCTGCGTTATTGGCCAGTCTGTTTCCATCCCTCGCGTCCTCCTCTCTTCTTTATGCACGTGCCAACCCTCCAGCGCTCCAATCTTGATGTGCTTACTCTTCTTCATGCTTAATCAATTGCTTTTCCCGGTACACTTCGCGCCTTTCCCCCTCCCGGCCCCAGCCCCCCGCCGTTTTCTTCCATTAATCACCTCCCTTGCCTTTCTTCCCCACCTCCCTCTCCCCACCCCTCCTTCGCCCCACCCCCCTTTTCCCCTTTCTCCCCCTCTCTCCCCGTCCCTCTCCCCCCAGACGTGTTCAAGTTCGACCCGGACTATCTGGCCAACGAGCAGCGCTACAAGGAGATCAAAGCGGAGATCCTGGGAGACGAGGAGGAGGAAGAGGACGACAAGGGCGAGAAGGGGGACGACGACGAGGAGGAGGAGGATGAGGAGAGCAGTGAGGAGGAGGAGGACGAGGAGGAGCAGGCGAAGCAGCAGGAGATTCGCGACGAGACGGAGACGAACCTGGTGAACCTGCGGCGCACCATCTACCTGACCATCATGGCTTCCGTCAACTTTGAGGAGGCGGGCCACAAGCTGATGAAAGTCAACCTGCAGCCGGGGCAGGAGGTGAGGGGTGGGGTGGGAGGAGGGATGGGAGGGGAGGGGTTGAGGGGCTTGACCAGTGGGGCAGAGTGCATGGAAAGTGGGGGTTTAGAGTGAGGGAATATCGTCAGGCAGGCAGCAGAAGGGGGTGAACCTGCGGCGCACCATCTACCTGACCATCATGGCGTCCGTCAACTTTGAGGAGGCGGGCCACAAGCTGATGAAAGTCAACCTGCAGCCCGGGCAGGAGGTGAGAGGCTATGGTGGGGGGGAGACGGGTTGGGGGGAGGACAGGGGGTGAGGGAGGTGAGGAAGGGGTAAGGCTTTAGGGCTTGAATCAGAAGTGAGGCGTGAGGAGGCGGGGCACAAGCTCATGAAGGTCAACCAGCAGCCGGGGCAGGAGGTGAGAGGGGAGGAGGGAGGGGTTGAGGTATGGGGGAGGGGTTTGAGGCTTGGGAGGATGTTAGGCGAGGGTGCCGCAAACAGGGGGGTAGTGTGCATGGAAAGTTGGAGTGTCGAGTCAGGGAAGAGAATTATGCAGGCAGCAGCAGAGGGTGATTGTCCCTACATCCTAGTTGGAGTGTAGACAAAATCATTACCTACATTAAGCTGCCTGCATGATTCTCTGAGGCTGTAGAATCCTTCATCATCCCCTCCTCCCCCCTCACACCCCTCCCTTCCCTCCACTCACGACCCTCTCCCTACCCCTTCCACTCGTGCAGTTGAAGCTGCGTGAAATGTTTCTCGCCTGCTGCTCCTTGTATGACCCTCACCCTCCCTCCTCCACATCCCTCCCTCTCGCTCTTCCGCTCTCTCCCCCCAACCCTCTCCCCCCCCTCATGCAGATGGAGCTGTGTGAAATGCTGCTCGCCTGCTGTTACTGTCATGACCCTGACCCCCCCCCCTCCCCTCCCTCCTCTCCCTCCGCTCCTTTCCCCTCCTCTTTCCTCCCTCCTCCCCCTACCTCCTACCACGTCCACCCTTCACACAGATGGAGCTGTGTGAGATGTTGCTCGCCTGCTGCTCCCAGGAGCGCACCTACCTGCGCTAATACGGGCTGCTGGGCCAGCGCTTCTGGTGGGTGGGGTGCGGTACTAGTGGTAGTGTCAGTTGAACTCAGTGCAAGATGGTGGTATTGGGTGCTCCTACCTCCGCCTCTAGGTTCTCCTGGGGCAGCGGTTCTGGTGGGTGATTGCATTGCATCTGGATACAAAGGGAGGGGGGGGGTGGATGTAGGAGGTGATTGCATTGCAGCTGGACACGAGGGGAGGGGGGGGGGTGGATGTAGGAGGTGACTATTAATAATGCACGATCATGTGGGGTGTGATAATATAGGGAGCGTAGTCGTGCGTCTATGGACTGCTGGGGCAGCTATTGTGGTGGGTGGCAGCTATAAGACAGACGCTTCTGTGCCATGCCTCCATGCCATGCCATGCTATCCGTTGCCATGCTCTTCCCTCCCCTGCCTTTCTTATGCCATGCCATGCCCTCACGCCATGCAATTTGCTCTGCTTCTAAGCGCTCGCTCTTGTGTCAAGTCCTGCTGATACTTCCCCCCTCCGTCTCCCCATGTCCTCACCCTCTTCACCCACTACCCAGCTTGCTGAGCTGCACGTACAAGGGCTGCTTCATGACTGATTGACGCCGCTACAGCGTGCTGAACTGCACTTACCAGGAGCCCTAAGTCCTTCAAGCAGTGCTCTCTGCAGTGCAGTACAGCGTGATTGGTTGACGCCCCTTGAACCCTGTTCCCCCTCCCCCTCCCTCTCACAACCATCAACTCTCTCCCACAGCATGCTCAACCGAGCCTACCAGGAGTGCTTCGAGCAGTGCTTTGTGAAGCAGTACAGCATGATCACCGCCTCAACTTGATGCTATCTCTCTATCCCCCACCGCCCTCCCCTCCCCAGCATGCTCAACCGAGCCTACCAGGAGTGCTTCGAGCAGTGCTTTGTGAAGCAGTACAGCATGATTCATCGCCTCGAGACCAACAAGCTGCGCAACGTTGCCAAGCTCTTTGCTCACTTCCTCGCCACTGACGCCATGCCCTGGGCGCTGCTCTCTTATATTCGCCTCACCGAAGAGGACACCTCTTCCTCGTCGCGTATCTTCATCAAGATCATGTTCCAGGTGCGCTTCAGAGAAGAGCAGGCGTGCACTGCACTCAGGTGAGCTTCAGTTCACTGCAGCCTGAGTGTGTGCTCTCAGGGCCCTGGGCTCTTCGCTCAATTCAGCTTGACACGCACTCACCTCTTTGATCAGGAAAGGTCGGAGCAGCTGGGGGGGGGGCTGTGCAAAATGAATGAGAAGCTGAGCGGAACCCACTTCCCCTCCCCACCCCCATGTGCGTCCTTGTTTCCCCACTTCCCCTCCCCACCCCCACTTCTCCTCCTTTCCCAAAACCCACCCATGAGCAGGAGATGTCAGAGCAGCTGGGGCTGCGCAAGATGATGAGAGGCTCAGCGACCATTCATGTGCCTTTCTTGTTTCACCCAGGTCCCCCCAACGCCCATCTCCATTCCCCCTCTGTCCCATTACCAACTCCTCCCCCCCCCCCGCCCCCGTACCTTCGCCCACCCCACCTTCCCCCCTTCACCCGAGCAGGAGATGTCGGAGCAGCTAGGGCTGCGCAAGATGAATGAGAGGCTCAGCGACCCGACGAATCATGTGCCTCCCTGTTTTCGCACGTACACCCGACCCCCCACACCCATTCCCTCACTTTCCGTTACTCCCCCCCTCTCTCCTGTCCTCCCCTCTCCTCCCCCCTCCTCCCTCACCCCCCCTCCCCTCTTCCTTTCCCCTTTCCCTCCCCCTCACCCATAACAGGAGATGTCGGAGCAGCTGGGGCTGCGCAAGATGAACGAGAGGCTCAGCGACCCGACCATGGGGGCGGCGTTCGACGGCATTTTCCCCAAAGACACGCCCAAGAACACGCGCTTCGCTATTAACTTCTTCACTTCTATCGGTCTGGGAGGGCTGACAGACAACCTGAGGGAACACCTGAAGAATATGCCAAAGCTGATCATGCAGCAACAGAAGCCTGTTCAGGTGTCTGAGAGTGAGAGTGAGAGTGATAGTGAGAGTGATAGCGAGAGTGAGAGTGATAGTGGGTCGGACAGTGGGAGTGACAGTGGGAGCGAGAGTGAGAGCGAGAGCAGTGAGAGCGAGAGCAGTGAGAGTGAGGATAGCCGAGACAAGAAGAGGAGGCGAAAGAAGTGAGATTTGGCTTGTGGTTGTATGCATAGTACCGTCATCACCCGGATATAAGACAGTGTTGAATAGTAGACAGGGGTTGTCTACTATACGGGTGTCTCTTATAAACAGGCTAGCCTCATTATAAGACACCTATTTGTGTGTATGAGATAAGACATATATGTCTTATAATCGAAACTTCAATAAATTATAGCGAAAGTTGAAGTACCGCGTACTTTTTTACCCTTGCGAAGCGCGAATTCTTCCACGCGCTGACCCAGGACCTACCAAATTTGCCCCTGCAGGTGTTCTCCATAACGTGGCATCTCGGGCAGAGGTTGTCGAAGTGGCACCTTCGCAACATCCACACGCATTATGAGAAACTCTTTTTAAAAAGTACGGAAAATATTTCTAAGTAGTTTAAAAAATTTCCATTTATAAGACTTATAAGACACCCTAAACCATCCCGTTTACAAGATAACTCAAGCATTTTTGCCCGTGTACGAGATAAGACATATATGTCTTATATCCGGGCGATGACGGTACACTTCTTTTTGTGTCATGTTACTGAAAGATGATGCTTGTATGGTACTTGTACAATTTGCTCAATGGTGTAGAGTTGGGGCTTTGATTGTCACAGAATTCATACCCTTGCAGTTATCATATGAAGGTGCTTCCATAGGTATTATTATGAACGCCTGAATGTGAAAGTCTGGGTGTGTCTTGCACTAAACGAGGGCAGGCTGCACTGGAAATTTAACTAATATCTACCCTAGGAACGCCCTAAATGTTGTGTAGCAGCTCAACAGATTCCACTACCCTCTGACAATCTGTGTCAATAATTCGAGTCGCCCTAGATATTTCCATCGTTCGCTAGTCTCGTTGTTCCAATCAGTAACCCCATCGTCACCCTTCCAGTCAACTCCGTGTCGCACGTGTGGACCTCACGCATCGCGTAGTCGATTGTTGTACGAGCTAACACACACTCCTGAGGCGGCTCGAGATTCTAGTTCAAAAATTACCGGTCAGAGCTCCTTGCGCCGCGGCATAAATCGTTATACGCTTAGGCAGCAACTGGCGTCTGGTGCGCAGATGTGTGCTGGTCTGTACGAGCCATGGGGGTTGCAACTTGACTGAAGCCGAGCTCGGGGGGAGCGTAGCACGGCACTTCCTACGCGTGGTACGAACGAACTGCAGTAGACCGTCTCGAGATTGCTTTTCACATGGCATCATGGCTTAGTACCATTTTAGGGTTTGTTCGCCTGACTTAGTTCCCGCTATGGCTGGTTCGCGTGAATCATTGACCATCTTAGGGCGCGTCGGTCTGCCGTAGTAGTCGTATTTAGGGTTTCCACCCTCCAGCTGTGGTCTCCGGAGAGCCTCTCCTCCAGCCCTCCGTGATTGCGGTTTGTGGACGGTGTCGTTTGGCTGTGGCCGTGTGATAGTGCCGACAGGGCGTCTGCCACGTGTTCATCAGTTATTCTAGTGTGAAACACCCCTTACCCCCTTTCATTTTTCCACTTATTTCCCCTACACCTCACCTCCTCTTCCTCTCCCTCTCCTCCCCCCCCGCACCCACCTTCTTCCCCTGTTCCCCTCAGTAGCGTTCATGCATTGAAATTTAGTGAAGTACGGAGCACATAGCAGCTGCTTAATTAGAGCCCATGGACCAATCACAGTCGCCACAGCAGCATGTACGGACAGCCTCTGCCGCCCAACAGATGGCCGCCCAGCAGTCGTTACCTCCACAGTCCGCCGCCCAGCAGCCGCTGCCGCCTCAGTCTGTCGCCCAACAACCTCTGCCGCCCCAGTCGGCCGCCCAGCCGCTGTTTGACCCACGAGTCTGGCCCGGCTTTGAGCGGTTCAACCAGGTGGGGCGGGTGGCTGGTGCGGTGGGGTCGGGTGGAGTGGCGTAGGGCAGGGAGGGATGTGGTTGGAGTGGCAGTGGAGTGGCGTGGGGTGGGTTGGGGTGTGATTGGGCTAGGACAGATTCTTCAATGCTTTCTAGGCGCGGGAAGAGGCGAGGCAGGGGGGAGGGGGGGGGGGGGGTGGGGTGGGGGGTATATCATGAAGGAATCAGGATGCTCGGACGAGTGAGGCCGGGCGACAAGCGGATCAAGCAGGCGACTCTTGAAACGTCGCCACCCGTTCTGCCATATGTGTGTTCATGCCCTTTGATTTATCGAACCAAGAGACATCGGGGGTCGGTCTGCTATTCGCGCTCATGACTGACGCGTCAGCACTTCCCCCTCTGGGTCCGATTTTTGAGGCTGTTAGATTGTCCGCTTTTGAGTCGACTCAAAAGCAGACGCATGTTGTGTCCACTAGCAGGTTGTAGGGTGCCTTGGACGATCCATTGGCACACATGCGCTCATCTCCCCCCTTCCCCCACTCCTGCCGGACCAGAGTCGGCTGCTGATTCACGAGATCAGGGCGAACCACGAGGCACGCCTGTTACATTGGCTTCTGTATCGAGAGACGACTGCGCTCATACCTCCCCTTCCGCTTCCCGCTCCCCCCTCCCCCACTCGCAGGTGCAAGGCCTGCTGGACCAGAACCGGCTGCTGATACATGAGATCAAGGCGAGCCACTAGGCGAGGCAGCTGAGTTGGCTTCTGTGCAGACCGACCTACGATGTCATATTGAGTGTCAACTGCTGCTCATCCCTCCCGTTTCCCGCTCCCCAACACACAGGTGCAAGGCCTGCTGGACCAGAACCGGCTGCTGATTCACGAGATCAAGGCGAACCACGAGGCGAGGCTACCGGATGGGCTCATGCGCAACGTGACGCTTATCAGAGAGCTCAACTCCAATGTCACCAAGGTGAGCGCATTGTGACCTTGCTGCCATAACTCGTCTCCCTCACGAGGCGAGGCTGCCGAATGGGCTCATGCGCAATGTGACCCTCATAAGACAACTCAACTCCAACGTCACCAAGGTGAGCGCATTGTGACATTCTCTACAGTGATTCGTGTCTCTCAAGCCTTGAGACTTCTCAAACGACATTGTGACCTTTGTTGCCGTAACTCATCTCCCGCGCGCACGGCTGCCGAATGGGCTCATGCGCAATGTGACCCCCATAAGGCAGCTCAACTCCAATGTCACCAAGGTAGACATGTTACTTACTTTACCATATTACCTATTATACCATGGTATAAATGTGAGTAAGTGTGGATTGAACGGTATCAAAATCTGAAAATGCCAGATGGGCTCATGCCATGCGCAACGTCGCCCTCATTAGAGAGCTCAACCCGAATGTCACCAAGGTGGGGATTTGGTGCAAAGGTAGAGATTTTTCGGCCCCCAAGGTAGAAGTGGGTGTATGTGTTGAAGTGTAACATGACCCGGCTGCCGGATGGGCTCATGCGCAACTTCAGTTGAGATGCCGGATGACCCTCATCAGGCATCAATGTCACCAGAGTAGGGATTGAACTGGTAACCCGCATTGAACTCTGCCTCGTGTGTAAGGTAAAGTTTGATTGAGTAGGAACTCTTACGGCACGCCCTGATTGGTTGCTAGGGTTTAGTGAGCGCTCAGTCGCAAATTCCTTCCCTTTGTGCTCGTCCCTTTGTGCTCGTCCCTTTGTGCTCGTCCCTTTGTGCTCGTCCCTATGTGCTCGTCCCTTTGTGCTCGTCCCTTTGTGCTCGTCCCTTTGTGCTCGTCCCTTGCCGTGCTTCCATCCGTCTCCCCTCCCCAATGCACCATAGGCTGTACGCTGAGATATTTGAGTGTAGTCTCTTTTGAGATTCCAATGCAAATGTGAACGCACTGTGCGAAATTTTAGTCGCTTTTGTATAGGCTGGCTGATATCAGAGTCTCTTATCAAAAGTGACTGCAGTATCAGCTAGGGCCTCCGGCAGATCTACAGTAGCTCGCCGTGAGTGCGTTTTCGAAATGTCTTCCCTTCACACTCTGCCCCCCTCCCCCCATATTCGTCCTGCAGGTGGTGGATATTCGTCCTCCCCCCATATATGCTGACATCTCTCACTCATTCCCGCGCACCTTTGGCATATACACTCTGCTCCTCATGAGTGCTTTCTCACATATCACTTCCCTTCTCGCTCCACCTGCTGCTCTGCCTTCTCCCTCCGTGCCCCGTCTGCAGGTGGTAGATCTCTACGCTCACATCTCCCGCACATTCATGCGCACCTCTGGCAGCTCTGCTGTGCGCTCACTTACCCATCCGTCCCCCTCCCCCTCCTCCGACTCTCCCGCTCTGCCTTCCCCCCTCTCTTGTGCACCCCTTGCAGGTGGTCGATCTCTATGCTGACATCCCCCGCACATTCGTGCGCACCTTTGGCAGCTCAGCGGCATCGCGTTATGTGCGCTCACTTACAGATCCGTTCCCCCTTCCCCGTGTCGTCCCTCCCACCCACCCACTCTGCCTTCTCCGTCCCGTGTGTGTGCACCCCCCACAGGTGGTCGATCTCTACGCTCACATCTCCCGCACCTTCGTGCGCACCTTTGGCAGCGTAACTGCTCCTCATGTGCTCTCACTTACAGCTTCGTTCCCCCTTTCCCCCCTCTGTCCTACCGCTCTGATTCTTCGCCCCCCACCTTCCCCCCCTCCCTCCTCCCCTCCTCTCCCCCCCCCCCCCCCCCCCTCCCCCGTGCCTCTTCTGCAGGTCGTAGACCTGTACGCTGACATCTCCCGCACCTTCGTGCGCACCTTTGGCAGCTCTGCAGCTGCCCGCGCCTCTCCTGGCGCTGCTGGGGGGGATGCTGCTGCTGCCGGGGCTGTGGGGGGCGACAGTGACGGCTAGGTGGAGGGGTGGGTGTACGTGTGGTTTGTGGCACTGCACCTGCTGGCGCCGCTGGGGGGCCTGCAGGTGCCGACAGTGACGGCTAGGTGGAGGGTTAGACGTGCAAGTACCTGTGGTTGTGTCTCGCTTTTGGACGTTTGGCAGCTCTGCTGCAGCCCGCCTCCCTGCTGGCGCTGCTGGGGGGCCTGCAGGTGCCGACAGTGACGGCCAGGTGGAGGGGTGGACGTGCATGTGGTGATGTGACGGCTAGTTGTCCCATTCCTCACGACCTTTTGCAGCTCCACTGCAGTCCGTCCCTCTGCTGCCGCTGCTGCTGCTGCTGCTGTTGATGCTGGAGGGGCTGCAGGCGGCAGCAGTGACGTGAGACGGCTAGCAGGAACTGTAGACGTGCTCGCCTACGTCATGCCTCGGCCTTTCTTTATTGGCCCAACCACGGCCCACTATTGAAGTCACATTTGAGGATTCTCTAAAACAGTTCAACCATGACCCTCTCCCCCCCTGCTGCTGCTGTTGGGGGGCCAAAGACGGCTAGTTGGAGGCGCAGCGCTACATGTGGCTGTGTCTCTCTGGCATATGTCTCAGGACCTTTATGAGATCTGCTGCAACCTGCCCCTCTGCCGTCGCTCTTGCTGGAGGAGTGAAGGTTCCAACAGTGACGGCTAGTTGCAGGGGTGGAGGTTCATGTGACCTTTGGTAGCTCTACCGCAGCCCGCCCCCTGCTGCTGCTGCTGCTGGGGGAGTGCAGGTTCAAATAGTGACGACTAGTCGCAGGGGAGATGCGCATGTAGCTGTGCCTCTCGGACGTACGGTACCTCACGACCTTTAGGAGCTCTGCTGCAGCCTGCTCCTCTGGTGCTGATGTGCCTGGCGTTGATGTTAAAGTGCGTGGCTCCCGTTGGCGAGGGGGTGAGGTGCCGCTGCTCGATTGAGTGGTTGCCGTAGGTGAGGGGGTGAGAGGTGAGGGCTTGAGATGGTGCTGTGTTGACCGGATGGCGAACGGCATTGGTTGGTTGGAGTCGCTGGTAGACTTGGGGCATGGAGAAGGGGCACTGATTGACTTGTAACGTAACGCATGGCGCAGCACAGCTTGCAAACTTGGAATGATGTACTAATTTTGGGTGTAGCAGTTTTCAGGCAGAATGCAGTTACCTGGTGTTTTTGTGAGTTTTGTGGGAGGGGTGGTGAGAAATAAGCACCCTTGACCATGCCTGCCTGAGGTGCATATTGTATGGTCTTTCTTTTAGTTCCTTTAGATAATGGAGCTAGTTTGCAGCACATTTATCCTGCAATCTGTGCTGATACACTGAAAGTATATATTCCGTTTTTTTTGGACGAATACGGACTGTATTGAACCCTGTTATAGAGAACCGTCGCTTCATTTGTTACACCCAAACAAGTCACTTGTAAATGCCGTACACGGAATTTTGTGTGGGGCCAGACCCGAAACCCCGTACCCTCTCCCCTCCTTCCTTATCCTCTCTCCCCTTCCCTCCATTTCCGAAGCAGCGCTATATCAAAACGTGCCGCTGCTCGAAGCGCGCCTCGGATTCCGTCGCGCGGTGACACGTGCCGTTGCCTATCCGCCGTGCTCGTCGTCCACGTACAGAGTTATTTAACTTGGCTAGTCGCAATAGTAGTCTTAGCCTACCGCAAAAATAGTTAAAGTACACTATGGTGTGGTTTCAGTGCGAGGACTGCGGGGAGACGCTTAAGAAGCCCAAGCTCAACGCGCACTTCGGGCGATGCTCCGCGTACAAGGTCAGCGTCGCGCCTTATAAGGTGTATATAAACGGCCATGTTTGACGATGTAAGCGGATGTCCTTGAATCGCGTACATGGCGTGCTCTGACTCGGCTTCAGTACGACAACGGCCCTTGACGCCCGATTCCTCGTACATTACTAGTTTCGGCTCTCCGAATCTCGCGTCGACACTCTCTCGTCGCCGTTTCTTTCGTAGTTACCCCTTCTTCGTCTTCCCCCACCTCCCTCTCACTCCATCCCACCCCCCGCACCAACCCCTCTCCTCCCCTCTCCCCTCTTTCCCCATTCCCCATCCCCCCCTCCCCTCCCCCCCCCTTCCTCCCCCTCCTCCCCTGCTATCAGCTTGCGTGCATTGATTGCGGCGTGACATTTGATCAGCGCTCGGTACAGTCACACACGACGTGCATGACCGAAATGGTACAGTAATCACGCCATTATAGTCACATACGAGAAAACTCAGTTTTGTTTTTTGTTTTTGTTTTTGTTTTTGTTTTTTTGTGATTAAAACCAGTAACTGAAAACCAGTAACTGAAATGGTACAGTACGTACTGCTCACTGTTTCCCTTCCATCCCCCCCCTCGTTCGAACTCGCCGCCAAACCCTATCCCCCATCCTCCCCTTCCTCCCTCTCTCGTCCACACTCGCCCCGCTCTCACACTGCTAACGCAGCGAACCCCAAGGGTGGGGATGGGGGGAGTGGGGGAGGCCGCTGGCAGGGGGGTGGGGAGGGGCTGCTACTGCAGCATGATGTATCCGTGCCCTAAACCCCCTTCCCCTGCTTCCCTCTCTCCCCCCCCCCTCCTCCTACACCTCTTCCCTCACCAGGAGAAGTTCGGGTCCAAGGGGGCTAATGCAGTGATCCCCAACGCAAAGGGGAGGCCGCCAGCACGGGGGGGGGAAGCTTCTGTGGCAAGCTCCCTGCTGAGACCTCCTAGTGTACCCCACTCTCCCTCCCCCTCCCACTCCCCTTCCCCCTCCCCCTCCCCCCCACCAGGAGAAGTTCGGGCCCAAGGGGGCCAACGCAGCGAACCCCAGTGCAGGGGGGAGGCCGCCAGCAGGGGGAAAGGGGAAGGGCGGTGGGGCAGCAGCGGAGGGGGGCGATGGGTTTGACTATCACATGGGGCTGTCGACCCGCCCCCCCTGGTATTGCAGGTGTGTATGGTGCTTTGTAGTTTGGGGAGGGGGTGGGGAATGGGTGGGGTGGAGTAGCAGGAAGTGAGGCAGGAAGGGCGACAGGACAGGCACCAGCGGGGGCAGCAGGAGGGCAGCAGCGGAGGGGGCCGATGGGTTTGACTACCACATGGGGTTGTCGACCTGCCCGTCCGGGTGCATGTATGGTGCTACCTGTAGGGCATATCACATGCCATGCATGGCGGCTAGTGCTCTCTTTAGGGGAGGGGGAAGGGAAGAACTGGGGGAACCAGGAGGGATCTAACTAGTGGAATCGCAATACAAGGGGGGTCTAGCTAGACAGCAGGAGGTTGGAGAGCCGCTCAGCGGGGAAGAAGCACCAGCCATGGGGGGGAAGAAGCACCAGCCATGGGGGGGAAGAAGCACCAGCCATGGGGGGGAAGAAGCACCAGCCATGGGGGGGAAGAAGCACCAGCCATGGGGGGAAGAAGCACCAGCCATGGGGGGGAAGAAGCACCAGCCATGGGGGGAAGAAGCACCAGCCATGGGGGGGAAGAAGCACCAGCCATGGGGGGAAGAAGCACCAGCCATGGGGGGGAAGAAGCACCAGCCATGGGGGGGAAGAAGCACCAGCCATGGGGGGGAAGAAGCACCAGCCATGGGGGGGAAGAAGCACCAGCCATGGGGGGGAAGAAGCACCAGCCATGGGGGGGAAGAAGCACCAGCCATGGGGGGGAAGAAGCACCAGCCATGGGGGGGAAGAAGCACCAGCCATGGGGGGAAGAAGCACCAGCCATGGGGGGGAAGAAGCACCAGCCATGGGGGGGAAGAAGCACCAGCCATGGGGGGGAAGAAGCACCAGCCATGGGGGGGAAGAAGCACCAGCCATGGGGGGGAAGAAGCACCAGCCATGGGGGGGAAGAAGCACCAGCCATGGGGGGGAAGAAGCACCAGCCATGGGGGGAAGAAGCACCAGCCATGGGGGGGAAGAAGCACCAGCCGTGGGGGGGAAGAAGCACCAGCCGTGGGGGGAAGAAGCACCAGCCGTGGGGGGGAAGAAGCACCAGCCATGGGGGGGAAGAAGCACCAGCCATGGGGGGGAAGAAGCACCAGCCATGGGGGGAAGAAGCACCAGCCATGGGGGGGAAGAAGCACCAGCCATGGGGGGGAAGAAGCACCAGCCATGGGGGGGAAGAAGCACCAGCCATGGGGGGGAAGAAGCACCAGCCATGGGGGGGAAGAAGCACCAGCCATGGGGGGGAAGAAGCACCAGCCATGGGGGGAAGAAGCACCAGCCATGGGGGGGAAGAAGCACCAGCCATGGGGGGGAAGAAGCACCAGCCATGGGGGGGAAGAAGCACCAGCCATGGGGGGGAAGAAGCACCAGCGATGGGGGGGAAGAAGCACCAGCCATGGGGGGGAAGAAGCACCAGCCATGGGGGGGAAGAAGCACCAGCCATGGGGGGGAAGAAGCACCAGCCATGGGGGGGAAGAAGCACCAGCCATGGGGGGGAAGAAGCACCAGCCGTGGGGGGGAAGAAGCACCAGCCATGGGGGGGAAGAAGCACCAGCCATGGGGGGGAAGAAGCACCAGCCATGGGGGGGAAGAAGCACCAGCCATGGGGGGGAAGAAGCACCAGCCATGGGGGGGAAGAAGCACCAGCCAGCCATGGGGGGGAAGAAGCACCAGCCATGGGGGGGAAGAAGCACCAGCCATGGGGGGGAAGAAGCACCAGCCATGGGGGGAAGAAGCACCAGCCATGGGGGGGAAGAAGCACCAGCCATGGGGGGGAAGAAGCACCAGCCATGGGGGGGAAGAAGCACCAGCCATGGGGGGGAAGAAGCACCAGCCAGCCATGGGGGGGAAGAAGCACCAGCCATGGGGGGAAGAAGCACCAGCCATGGGGGGGAAGAAGCACCAGCCATGGGGGGGAAGAAGCACCAGCCATGGGGGGGAAGAAGCACCAGCCATGGGGGGGAAGAAGCACCAGCCATGGGGGGGAAGAAGCACCAGCCATGGGGGGGAAGAAGCACCAGCCATGGGGGGGAAGAAGCACCAGCCATGGGGGGGAAGAAGCACCAGCCATGGGGGGGAAGAAGCACCAGCCATGGGGGGGAAGAAGCACCAGCCATGGGGGGGAAGAAGCACCAGCCATGGGGGGGAAGAAGCACCAGCCATGGGGGGGAAGAAGCACCAGCCATGGGGGGGAAGAAGCACCAGCCATGGGGGGGAAGAAGCACCAGCCAGTGGGGGGGAAGAAGCACCAGCCATGGGGGGGAAGAAGCACCAGCCATGGGGGGGAAGAAGCACCAGCCATGGGGGGGAAGAAGCACCAGCCATGGGGGGGAAGAAGCACCAGCCATGGGGGGGAAGAAGCACCAGCCATGGGGGGGAAGAAGCACCAGCCATGGGGGGGAAGAAGCACCAGCCATGGGGGGAAGAAGCACCAGCCATGGGGGGGAAGAAGCACCAGCCATGGGGGGGAAGAAGCACCAGCCATGGGGGGGAAGAAGCACCAGCCATGGGGGGGAAGAAGCACCAGCCATGGGGGGGAAGAAGCACCAGCCATGGGGGGGAAGAAGCACCAGCCATGGGGGGGAAGAAGCACCAGCCATGGGGGGGAAGAAGCACCAGCCATGGGGGGGAAGAAGCACCAGCCATGGGGGGAAGAAGCACCAGCCATGGGGGGGAAGAAGCACCAGCCATGGGGGGGAAGAAGCACCAGCCATGGGGGGGAAGAAGCACCAGCCATGGGGGGGAAGAAGCACCAGCCATGGGGGGGAAGAAGCACCAGCCATGGGGGGGAAGAAGCACCAGCCATGGGGGGAAGAAGCACCAGCCATGGGGGGGAAGAAGCACCAGCCATGGGGGGGAAGAAGCACCAGCCATGGGGGGGAAGAAGCACCAGCCATGGGGGGGAAGAAGCACCAGCCATGGGGGGAAGAAGCACCAGCCATGGGGGGGAAGAAGCACCAGCCATGGGGGGAAGAAGCACCAGCCATGGGGGGGAAGAAGCACCAGCCATGGGGGGGAAGAAGCACCAGCCATGGGGGGGAAGAAGCACCAGCCATGGGGGGGAAGAAGCACCAGCCATGGGGGGGAAGAAGCACCAGCCATGGGGGGGAAGAAGCACCAGCCATGGGGGGGAAGAAGCACCAGCCATGGGGGGAAGAAGCACCAGCCATGGGGGGAAGAAGCACCAGCCATGGGGGGAAGAAGCACCAGCCATGGGGGGGAAGAAGCACCAGCCATGGGGGGGAAGAAGCACCAGCCATGGGGGGGAAGAAGCACCAGCCATGGGGGGGAAGAAGCACCAGCCATGGGGGGGAAGAAGCACCAGCCATGGGGGGAAGAAGCACCAGCCATGGGGGGAAGAAGCACCAGCCATGGGGGGGAAGAAGCACCAGCCATGGGGGGGAAGAAGCACCAGCCATCGGGGGGAAGAAGCACCAGCCGTGGGGGGGAAGAAGCACCAGCCGTGGGGGGGAAGAAGCACCAGCCATGGGGGGGAAGAAGCACCAGCCATGGGGGGGAAGAAGCACCAGCCATGGGGGGGAAGAAGCACCAGCCGTGGGGGGGAAGAAGCACCAGCCATGGGGGGGAAGAAGCACCAGCCATGGGGGAAAGAAGCACCAGCCATGGGGGGGAAGAAGCACCAGCCATGGGGGGGAAGAAGCACCAGCCATGGGGGGGAAGAAGCACCAGCCATGGGGGGGAAGAAGCACCAGCCATGGGGGGAAGAAGCACCAGCCATGGGGGGGAAGAAGCACCAGCCATGGGGGTGAAGAAGCACCAGCCATGGGGGGGAAGAAGCACCAGCCATGGGGGGGAAGAAGCACCAGCCATGGGGGGGGAGAAGCACCAGCCATGGGGGGGAAGAAGCACCAGCCATGGGGGGAAGAAGCACCAGCCATGGGGGGGAAGAAGCACCAGCCATGGGGGGGAAGAAGCACCAGCCATGGGGGGGAAGAAGCACCAGCCATGGGGGGAAGAAGCACCAGCCATGGGGGGGAAGAAGCACCAGCCATGGGGGGGAAGAAGCACCAGCCATGGGGGGGAAGAAGCACCAGCCATGGGGGGGAAGAAGCACCAGCCATGGGGGGGAAGAAGCACCAGCCATGGGGGGGAAGAAGCACCAGCCATGGGGGGGAAGAAGCACCAGCCATGGGGGGGAAGAAGCACCAGCCATGGGGGGGAAGAAGCACCAGCCATGGGGGGGAAGAAGCACCAGCCATGGGGGGGAAGAAGCACCAGCCATGGGGGGGAAGAAGCACCAGCCATGGGGGGGAAGAAGCACCAGCCATGGGGGGGAAGAAGCACCGCGTCAGCTGTCGCGTGGTGCCGTCCACCCTCCCTGCAACTAAATCGTTCAAACAAATGATTGCCGAGGCCTCCTCTGTGGCCGCACCCACCCACCAGGTCAGTGCTTTGCTCGGCTCACTGACACACTTCGTGCGGCCTACGGCGTTGACGGCCCTGCCCCTTACTGGCTTCCCCATGTTCAAACGTACGACCCCGCTGTGTGGGGCATGTCGGCTTCTCAGATGCTTGATCACTTAGGAACTCCTCATGTTATGTATGCTGTTGTTCACTATAGTGCTTCTGACTCTGTTTACTCGAGTGTTGTTAGCTTAGGTGCTAGTGTTACTGAGGTGCTTGTTGCCAACGTAGGTACTTGTATAGACACTAGTCCAGGAGCTGCTCCGGAGGACACTTCGCTGTCTTTCACTGTGGATTCTGGAGCTTCGCACTGTTTCTTCCGCGACCACACGATGCTTACTCCGCTTCCTGTGCCGGTCTCTGTGGCATTGGGTGATCCTACTTCGGGACCAGACACTGCTAGCTACACTACTACGCTTCCGTGTCCAGCAGTTCCCTCGGGTTTCCTGATGGGCTTCCACGTCCCCTCGTTCTCCAGGAACTTGGTGGGTGTGAGGCCGCTCGTGAGTAGTCACGTGGGTGTGTGGATTGACCCTTCTGACGAGACTGCGGTTTGTGTCAACGGAGACACGTACGCGCCTCTGGCCACCTTTACCGCTGAGCCGGGCTCTTGTCTCTACACTCTTCACACTGGCCTCTGAGGGCAGCAGCAGCAGCAGCAGCGGCGGCCTCCTACCCCTTTCACTGGCCCCCGTCAGGTCCCCGCGTCTCACCAGGTTGCCGCCTCCCACCAGGTAGCTGTGTCTCGTCTGGTTCCAGCGTCTGGTCCGGTTGCTGCGTCTTGCTCGTGTCGGTTGCTTGCCCACCCCACCATTCTGTGGCACCACCGCCTTGGGCACCCTTCCATTCCTCGCCTGCGCACTATGTCTAGTCAGCGTCTTGTCTTAGGCCGAGGGTCGGCTGCGCGCCACCCCTCACTCCTCCTCCCTTCGTCCGGCCACCGAGCCCTTTGAGACTCTCCACTTCGTCTGGGGCCCCGCCTCGCCCTGGCCCTGAGTGAGAGAGTTTCTTGCTGGTGGTGGTTGACAACTACTCTTGCTACACCACAGTGTTCCCCCTGGCGAAGAAGTCTGAGGTGACTTCTACGCTGATCCGGTGGTTACTTACCACTGCGGACACTCATGGTCGTCGTGTCAGCTGTCTTCACTCCGATCGCGTGGGTGAGTTTCGCTCCGGCATTCTCGCTGGATTCTGTCGCGAGCAGGGCATCCGTCAGTCCTGGACGCTTCCAAAGTCCCCAAAGCAGAATGGGGTTGCAGAGCGCTGCATATGCTTGTTCATGGAAATTGCACCACCTCCATGATCCACGCACGTGCCCCCCATTTTCTGTGGCCCTTCGCGGTTCGGTACGTCGCTCACTAGCTGAACCTCTGGCCACGTGTCTCTCGGCCAGAGGCTTCACCGACCAGTCTTTGGACCGGTTCCTACGGAGATAACTCTGTCAACGGGAGCTAGACTACGGGCTAGGCACGGGGTAGGAATGATCGTAGCGTTCGTTCGTTCCTTAGCCGTTTCCTTGTGCGCACACTATTTGCTAATTCACGGGGAGAATTGGCAAGAGTTCCACTAGGAAAACATGACAACAATAGTTCAGAATGATAGCAACAGCATTGGCAACACAGACTACATCAGAGCTAGCTAGGCTGCTGGTCGACTTCCAACGCAGCATGGTCGACCGCGATTCAGCGCACCAGAGCTCGCACCGCTCCAGCGTTGCAGAGTAGCGGCTCGCCAACGTTGCAAGCCCACGGTGTGCCAAACGCTGCAGCAATTCGACTGCACAGCGTTGCACCCGCAGGACAACGGTGCACCTGCTTCGCAGGTGTGCATAGCTGGTTGGTGCGCCACTCCTAGTCACGTGCACAGCGCAGACGCCTGGCAAAGTCCACGCCAGCGACTGCGCCTACCAGCCACGTCGACCTCGGGATACCACCCTCGAGGTCGACCTCGAAGAGTCCACCCCCGACGACCTCCGCACACGTCGCCCAGGTATCCCGGTTGACAGGGCAACCCCGCCTGGTCGTCCAGCCCAGTCGGTCGCCGGCTACACCAAACCCGGCGTCCCTGGGTCGGCGTCCTGGCGTCCAGGTCGGAGTCCTGTCACAGAATCCATTGATGTATTCAATTCATTCAGTTTCTCGCTAGTTGGGGTGTAGAAGGTGATAGAACTATGTCATGTAATGTTACCAAAGGGGTTGTTGGGTTTCAGGGAAGTGACGGGAAGTTGGTAACAGTGGGAATTGCGAAGTACAGTGGGGAGATCTCATGGGCCTCGAGGGACAGGGAATTTGCAGTGGCCAATCCAAAGTCAGGGCGACTCGAAGCGAACCCAGTTTGTCGAGGACACTCCCGACTCGGGACAGGGCAATAAGTAGCCTAGGCTAGGACATACCAAGCTGTTCTCTTGTTTGTTCGCCTCATATAGTGGTCAAGTGTTACCGTTCTCAAGCTACTTAAGCTAGGTGACTGCGCCACTGTGGACGGCCGGAGGCAGAATCTCTCACAAACAAGAGAACCAAAGCGGCAGCATGGACTGCCACGAGCTGCGCTGGCAGCGGACATTCTCGCGGCGGTAAATTTCTCCGTCGCGAAGGATGCGCTCACAGGAGCAAGGACGATCGCTGGGTTGCTCGCCTAGGAGAGAGGCGGATCGGGCGAATCGGGAAGCAAGTGGTGACGGACGGCGCACTGGAGGCGAGCCCGATCTGCAGACGGGATCGGCGGCAAGGCCTCAGCCGTTAAGCAGCGATCCCTGGGATCTGGCAAGAGGCCAGCGGGGCGCGGGAGCAGGGCATCACAAGGATGCCGACGATCTGGACTCGCTGGGGTCCGCAACTGAGGCTGGCGGCGAGGAGACAACAGAAGATGTCCCGGGTGCGCGGGACGGAGGGAGAGAAGAAGATGAATATACGCGAAGCGATGGCAGAGAGGAACGCGAAGAGCGCGGAGGTGAAGCGACTCGCTTGGCAGACGAGGTGTGAAGGAGTGGCGAGAGGCGCCAGGGGAACCTAGCGGATGCAGATCGCACGCCAGAGAAGATGCGCGACGGAGGTGCGAGACGCGGCGGAAGCGCTGCGGCAGATCGCGGGCCAGAGGAGATGCGCGACGGAGGTGCGAGGCGCGGCGGAAGCGCTGCGGCAGATCGCGCGCCAGAGGAGATGCGTGACGGAGGTGCGAGGCGCGGCGGAAGCGCTGCGGCAGGTCGCGCGCCAGAGGAGATGCGCGCCGGAGGTGCGAGGCGCGGCGGAAGCGCTGCGGCAGATCGCGCGCCAGAGGAGATGCGGGACGGAGGTGCGAGGCGCGGCGGAAGCGCTGCGGCAGATCGCGCGCCAGAGGAGATGCGCGACGGAGGTGCGAGGCGCGACGGAAGCGCTGTGGCAGATCGCGCGCTAGAGGAGATGCACGACGGAGGTGCGAGGCGCGGCGGAAGCGCTGCGGCAAATCGCGCGCCAGAGAAGATGCGCGACTGAGGTGCGAGGCACGACGGAAGCGCTGCGGCAGATCGCGGGCCAGAGGAGATGCGCGACGGAGGTGCGAGGCGCGGCGGAAGCGCTGCGGCAGATCGCGCGCCAGAGGAGATGCGTGACGGAGGTGCGAGGCGCGGCGGAAGCGCTGCGGCAGGTCGCGCGCCAGAGGAGATGCGCGCCGGAGGTGCGAGGCGCGGCGGAAGCGCTGCGGCAGATCGCGCGCCAGAGGAGATGCGGGACGGAGGTGCGAGGCGCGGCGGAAGCGCTGCGGCAGATCGCGCGCCAGAGGAGATGCGCGACGGAGGTGCGAGGCGCGACGGAAGCGCTGTGGCAGATCGCGCGCTAGAGGAGATGCACGACGGAGGTGCGAGGCGCGGCGGAAGCGCTGCGGCAAATCGCGCGCCAGAGAAGATGCGCGACTGAGGTGCGAGGCACGACGGAAGCACTGCGGCAGATCGCGCGCCAGAGGAGATGCGCGACGGAGGTGCGAGGCGCGGTGGAAGCGCTGCGGCAGATCGCGCGCCAGAGGAGATGCGCGACAGAGGTGCGAGGCGCGGCGGAAGCGCTGCTGCAGATCGCTCGCCGGATGGAAGGCGGGAGGACGGCGGGAAAAACCATGCGCCAATGGGATTGGATAGCCCGCATGGGCCGCGAGAACGTGGGAGGAGACGTGTGGCGATGGACGTGCGGCGATCGCCAGAGAGACGGAGGGAGGAGGAGTATGAGCGAGGGAGACCAGCAGGTCGAAGGGGACCTGATGCATGGGAGCGAGGGAGGCGTTGTCAGGAGCACTTGCCTGAGAAGAGAGAAGGGCGATGGGGGGAATCAGAAAGGCGGAGGGAGGCCTGTGAGGGTGAGCGAGGAAGGAGTCCACTGGGGCCGAAGAGGCCATGGCAATCAAGGGAAGCTAGAGCAGCCCGGGAGGGGATGGAGCGAGTGCTGTACGGGAGGAGCTCGGGGAGCAGGAGAGATGAGGAGCAGCGCGGAAGAAGGGATGGGTCATCGGAATGGGGGGCAACGAGTACCAGGGAGGAATATGAGTATGGGTTGGATCAGCGCCGATGGGGTAAGCCGGAGCGGCGCGAGAAGGAATCAATCCCTGAAGGAAGAGAGGGATACAGGGGAAGGCAAGAAGGGCAGAGGGAACCCGGAGTGGAGGTGAGGGGGAAGCAGGACGAGAGAGGGCAGAGAGGGAGAAGAGAGGAGCAGCGTAGGCGGCGGAGTTGACGCCTGAGCATGACACGGAAGGCGAGGAAGAAGGAGATTGTGACAGACATGCACGCTACAAATTTGGCCGAAGGGAGAAGCGCTGGGAAGAATATTCCCCTGAAAAGGGAGAGAGACCAGGGCGGGGGTCAGAGGGACACAGGGAGACTCGTGAGAGAGAGCGGGGAAGGAGCCCAAGTCAGAGCTGTCAAGGAAGGCCGCAGCAGTCATAAGTGGGCTCGGGAGGAGCCAGGGCAGCAAGGGAAGGAATCTATCGAATACTGTATGGGACAGAGTCAAGGAGCCGCGAGTGGGAGAGGAGAGGAGAGAGTAGCAGGAAGAATGAGATCTCAGGGACTTGGGAGACGAGTAGGTGGAGTGTGCAGGCCCCACCTCAGGTGAAGGTGCCAGTGCGCTTTGCTGGGGGAACAGAATCCGGAACCAGCATGAAGAATTACCTGATGCAGATCGCAAATGTGAAGTACCACTGTGATCGAAGCGGTATGGACCCGATAGAGTTTTTCTTAAGCCTACCGAATACGTTTGGAGGCAAAGCTGAAACGCTGTACCGGATGAAGATGCCAGAGTAGCTGAGGCGGGCAGAGGAGGATGGGGATGATCACACGGCGCAGAAAATTAGAGAATTTCAGGAGTTCAGGCGAGGGAGGACCGAGTCACTGCTCACCTACTACGGGAGGTTGATGAATCTGGCGGAAGACGTGGTGTGTACCGATGACAGCATGCTTATAAGCAAGTTCCTGGGGGGACTTGATGAGGGACTTAGCGGTGGACTGAAGGTGAGAGTGTACGAGCTGGGAGCTGATGCGACGCTGGAAGAAGTGTTTGAACTTGCAGAGAAAGTGGAACTGGCGCAAAGGCGGTATGAAGTCTACCTACCGAGGGTGGCAGAGAAGAAGAGGGCGACGTGGGCAGTAGCAATGACACATGGAGACGAGGGCAGGGAAGAGCAGCGGCAAGAGGAGCGGCCGGATACCCGGACGTATCACAGGTGCGGGCAGAAAGGGCACATCATGATAAACTGCAGAAACTGTGATGTGTGTGGGAAGCACGGACACCGCCGAAGCGATTGCCCGGAGAAGTCAGTCGAGGAGATAGATAACCAGCTTGGAAGGTTAAGAGCTCAACTGCAAGCGTTAAACGGAAAGGAAGAGACGGGGTGGTACGTGAGGGAGGAAGAGGAGGAGGAGGAGGAGAGGCAGGAGCCTTAGTGCTCCTATGTTGTGCTGCGTGTTCGTGAAGATATGAGGCTGCGGAGTGGGGGCAGGGACGGACGAGGGGAGCGTGTGAGTAAGGTGGGGGCATGGGCATGTATACCAGCAGCAGCAGATACTGAAGGCAAGGAGGAGAAGGTGGGGGCAGGGGTACATGTACCAGCAGCGGCAGATACAGAAGGAAAGGAGAAGGTGGGGGCAGGGGTACATGTACCAGCAGCGGCAGATACGAAAGGAAAGGAGAAGGTGGGGGCAGGGGTATACGTACCTGCAGCGGCGGAAGCAGAAGGGAAGAACGAGAAGGTGGGGGTACAGGTGTGCACACCAGCAATAGCGGTGGCGGAAGGGAAGGAAGAGAAGATGGGGGTAATGTCATGCAAACCAGAAGTGGCAGAAGCAGTGGGGAAGAACAAAGAGTTGGGGGCACGGGCGGGTGCACCAGCAGCAGCAGAAGCTGCAGGGAAGAACGGAGAGATGAGGGTCAGGGCAGGTGTATCAGCTGAAATGACGAGCAACTGGTGGCAAGGGGAACTAGGGATAGCAAGGTGGGAGGGTCCAGTGTGGGACACGGCCCAGGAGCGGGAGGAAGCAGAGATGGAGAGCAAGGAAGTGGGGGCAAGGGAGTGCCTGCCAGCGGGGGAAGGAGTGGAGCAGACGGTGGGAGATGAGATGAGGCAAGAAGGAAACGAGGCCCTGCAGACGGTCAGGTGGATTAAAGGAGAAAATTAGGAAGAGGAGCCGATGCCGCAAGCAGCCCAGGTGCTAACCGAGGCAGTGGCTAGGAACGAGCAGCCTCTGCAGCAGGGCGGCATAAAGGACAAAGGCAGTGGGGGACGTGGGATAGGAAGCTTACCTGCAGAGGAGGAAGAATGTTACTTTGGAAATGCTGCCAAGCATGACGAGGTAGAAGACGAAGCAGCTGAGGGAATTGGGATTACAGGAGCTGGCGAAGATAAGGGGAGAACAGAGCGTGGGCCACCAGACCCACACGGCAGTGGGGCAGAGCAGCCGACTCAGCCGGGAAGTCCAGTGACTCGGGCCCGAGCAGCTCGAGCACGTGCACAGGAGGAGGCAGGTAGTGGCTGAGTACAAAGGAGGGAACAGGGGAGCAGGAGTGAAGAGACATGAGCAGGTGACAGCGAGGATTCCGACAGTCCAGGCGCCCGGGACGCCGAGCAGATGCCCAGGTCGGCGTCCAGCCTCCCAGGACGCCGAGCAGACGCCCAAGACGACGTCCACCTGCTCGACGCCCTCCAGCCAGGCACCCCCCAGCTCAACGCCCTTGCAGTGGCCCCCGTGCCCACTGCTGCAGGTCGGCTGCATCCCCCCGCACACCCGACCACGAGGTCGGCTCCACCCAAGCGAGGACGAGGCCAAACACTACTCCCGTTGACAGGTCCCCTGATGCTGCGTCACGTTTTCGTGTCTGGGGCTTCTTGGCGCTCGTTCATGACACCTCCGCAGATAAGCTCTCCCCTCGCCCTTCACTGTGTCTTCCTTGGTTTCCCTGAGGACTCCTCTGACTTCACCTTTTACCACCCTCCCCTGCACCGGTTCTTTGACTCCCGCGACGTTCGTTTTGTCAAGTCAGTCCCCTACTACACCCGGTACCCCTGTCGAGGTCTTTCGGTTCCTCCTCCCCCTCTCTTCCTGACTCCCGCCCCCCCTCCTGCCCCTCAGGTACAGCCCCCCCCCCCCCCCCCCCCCTTGGTCCAGCTCCGTCAGGTGTGTCGCACGCAGCTGGTGTCGATCGAGCTGTCCCTGGGGGTGTTATGACTGGGGGTGCGGGTGCACCCTCTAGGGGACCTGGAGAGTCTTGGACTAGCTACGTTACTGCTGGTGGTGCTGGCTCTGGGGGTGGTGCGACTGGTGCTTTGGAGGGCGATCCTGGGGCGAGCGGTCCTGGGGCTACCACCACCCCAGGCACAACTCCTCCCCCCCACCCCTACCCGACCCGGCACCAGGCCCGTGTTCGCCGTGCATGTGAAGAGCAGCTGGAGTTGGAGCGGCAGCAGCTGGAGCTACAGCAGCTGAAGGAGCGGCAGCAGCAGCAGCAGCAGGCGCAGCAGCCGCAGCTGCAGGAACAGTTGGAGCAGCTGCAGCCGCAGCTCGAGGAGCCGCAGCCGCCGCAGCAGAAGCAGCAGGAGCAGCAGCAGCAGCCGCCGCAGCAGGAGCCGCCGCAGCAGGAGCAGCAGCAGCAGTCGCCGTAGCAGCAGCAACAGCCGCCACCTCCGCCTCCTGTCTCTGGACTTCGGACCCTCGGTCTCCCCTCTCCTTCTCCTCCCCCCTCCCCCTCTCCCCCTGTCTACGGTCCCACGTTTCCTCCTAGTGCTCCAGATAGAAGTGCATGCGCTTATCATATGCCTGCGCCAATATCCGGGGTGACACGGTACTTGCCACTGTAGCTGTTTTTGCCAACTACTTTTGACGTTCAGTTTTCGTCCTCGTTCCTTGTTCGCTTTTGGACTTCGTTACCGTATGAATATTTATACAACAGTTCCGTATCATAACAATAAGAGCCGTTTTTAGAACAACCGAATGATATACGGGTATACAATTGAGATGTTCAATTGTTTTTACGAAGTTTGTTTGCGACCAATTTTCAATTGAAAAAACAAGGAAACGTGTACGGTAGAAAACAGGGGCAATATAGATTGAAGTGTTGTATGAAATGGTAAAGTTGAAGTGTTATATGGGGAACACCAATATTTCCACGAGTTTCTAACCCCACGATTCCACACACACAAAATGCCAGGTCATGTGCAGGCCATATTTTGCCAAAGTCACAAAAACGACGTTTGTTCGGACCACGCACGTCCGTCCAGCTAGGAAGAGTAGATGACCTAACATGTAGGGCAGGCACAACTCCTTACGGCCAGCCCGCGACAGAGTTGGTCAATCGACGAACACGAGTCCAAGGTTCGAATAGAGTGTGTCAGTTCTGCGTGGTGACTCGGGAGCGGAGGAGGGAGTTTTGGGCCGGAGTCAGGCGGGCTCAACGGCAGCGATGGCGCGTGAGCGTAAGCGCGTGCAGCGCGCGGCGTTGGCACTGGCGTGGTGGCTCGTCGTCGTTGTCGCGCCCGTCGCGATGGTCAACGCCGTTCCGCTCGATGCCACGCAAGGCGAGTCGCTCGCAATACGAGTGCCGCTCATCCCAGTTAGTAACGCCTCCGCTGGGTCCCAAAGTAGGGGAGTGGCAGTTCCTCACCTGCATTGGGAATGACGCTCTGCCATTGGCATATGCTTTTAGAATGTCATGCGAGAGGAGCGCGCGTGGCGGGCATCATTGTGCACAATGATGCCCGCCACGCGCGCTCCTCTCGCCTCAGGCTGGCGGCGCTGCATGATGGCCGCATTGCAGGGCGGGAGAGGTGGAGCTGATCGACCTGCGTGGACCGTCGCAGGGGAGAGCAAGGGCCCAGAGACGCGCGCGTGCACCAGGAGTAGGCCCACGATTTCACATTTTTTTACCTTTTCTGTGCAGAGAGATGTTTTCAGTGGCATCCCAGTATGTAGGTATTGACAGCTTCGTAGGTCAAACAGAGCCGGCTCTGCTTAAGAGTCCTCGCCCCTGCGGGCAAGTCATGCGACAAGGGTTGCTAAAGAGAGAGGCGAGATGGAACGATTGCCAAACCCCAGGTGGTACAGGAGGGCGATTCCTGAGGATGAGTCGTCGTCAGTCTGACGTCGCAGCAGCCATGGGATTAGCTGAGAAAAGTTCCTAACCCCCAACCCCGCCTCCCTTCGCCCCACCCCCTGCCACTCATTCATTGCAGTGCAATTCCTGCAGGAGTGCCAGGCGGCATGGGGGCAGAGCATCCCCGGGTGGAGTGGCGCGAGTCCCGACTGCAGCAGTGCCACGGGCCTCACGTGCGACCCCTCCGGCATGATCGTGGCCCTGTGAGGCAATCGGGGTAGATGCGAGGGAGGCGGTGGGAGGGAGGCGATGGGGAGTGAGAGGACGCGAGTGGGAGGATGCGTGTGAGAGACTGAGAATGAGAGGAAGGGAGTTAGAGGATGCAAGTGAGAGGACGCGAGTGGGAGGATGCGCATCAGAGAATGAGAATGAGAGGATGGGAGTTAGAGGATGCAAGCGAGAGGATGCGAGTGAGAGGTCGATTACGAGAGGGTGAGTGCGGGAGGGTCCTCTCCACCATGCCGCACTTATTTCTTCTCTTGAAAACCAATGCTCAGTCAGTGAGCATCATTGACTCACAGATTCAAAAACCATCATTCCCACATTATCATTCTCACACCATCTTTTCCACACCATGAAACAGGCAACTCCGGAACTACAAGCTGGGAGGTCAGATTCCAAAATCCCTCAGCAGCCTCGGGAAGGTCACTTATCTGTACGTCCTCAGCACCATGTCGCCTCGAGTACTTGCTGCAGGAATTGGCACTGCACCTTGCATCCCGCAGCACAGGTGCGGCCCACTTTCACTTAGACGTGAGCAATTGGCGAGTGAGTAAAGCGCGACTCCTCTCCTTTTACGAGCCTCGGGGTGAGGTCCGAGTTGAATCGAGTTTTACTCGAACCAAGTTTTCTTTACTAGGGCTACACTTAAGCGCCACCATGTGATTGAGGGGAAAAAGCCTTGGGTCATTTTTCTAATTTTGAAGTGACCCAAGTCAAGTAAGACTTGACTCGTTTCACATTACCTGGCCCCAAACCAGCTCTTATCCCACCTGAGCACACAACCTTCTCCACGAAATGGCAGATCCCCGCAGATCTGACAGCAAAATCTCAAGCTTTCTCTACTCGTCAGTCTAATCCGACTCGGCTCGACCGAGTTTTCTTTCCGGAAAATTCTTCTGAAACTTGCCCTCGTTTTCTCTTCTCCAGCCTACCTCTACTCCTCCTGCTTTTACCTCTTTCTTCCTGCCGCTTTCTCAATCCAGGCCTCCTCTACACCCCCTCGCCTCGTCTTCTTCTGTTTCGCGTCCCCTGCCCCACCCACTCCCCTCTCCCCCCCAACCCCCCCTCTCCCCTCCTCCTGCCTCTCCCCTCCCTATCTACCACCCGCCCAGACCGCTTACCTTCTCCATTCCTCTCTGTCTCGCTCTTGTGAATGCTCCACTTCTTGCAAAGAGTCGTTCTGGACTAACCAAAGTCTGTGGCCAGTTGTCACCAACTGGCTGGCTAGGTAGCCGTGACGAACAAACCGAGCTGGAGCCGGGCTCGAGTATTCATCAAGTCTTGTCTCTGATTATGCATTGCTGCTGCTCGCCGCGAGGCCACCAGGATCCACTCTCACGGCTCTCGGCGGTGCTTCGGCGAGTCTTGTAGCGGCTTATCGACGAACAGTGGGAACCCGAGTTGTGCTGATCAATGTGGATAAAAAAATAGCTCCAAAGTTGCTCCGTCCTGTAAAAGCTTATACCATCAGTTTCTCTCCTTCCACTCGCTAGGCCTAGGGATGAGCAAAGGGCGAACACGAACATCGTGTTCGCCCCTTCTCGAACACCCTCTTTTGCCGAACCGAACACTGTTCGGTTCGGCGAACAGTTTAGGCAAAAACAGGTGTTCGCTGTTCGCCTGTGGAGGCGTGTTCGGGCGAACCTCGAACACGTTCGTGTTCGCCACGGGGCGTTCTGCAGCAGCGCCACGAACACGAACGTGTTCGGGCGAACCTCGAACACGTTCGGGCGAACGATTTAAGCTGAAAAACAAAACCCATTCGAGGCGAACCGAACAGGTGTTCGCCACCTTGCTCATCCCTAGCTAGGCCTATAGATCACCATGTTCTACCGAACCTTGGTTAAATCGATTCCTTCAACATCCACCTTTTTGATAGCTTTAAGTACTACTCGTGAAGTACTATTCTAGCAGAACGGAATCGCATCTAGACTAGAGGCTCAAGTTGGGCGGCCTGTGGCCGGCCAGCTCTCATCTCAACCACAATCAAGGTTCAAAATTACGGTTTTCGTAAAATACAGCCCGTTTTTTATGGTGATATTTCAAAAAAACGGCCGTTTTTTTGTTAGAGAACTCTGTTCACCAAGGAAAAAAACCCCAAAACAAGGTCAAAAACATTTTCAATCATGCCAACAAGCGCATACATGCAAGAAGGGGTCCATCCCCTTCATGCTGCTGCAATTCATGTTCAATTTGGTCCCACTAAGTGGCCATTTTGTCAGTTAAACAGGAAACACCTCCTGGAACCGTTTAAACCGTTTTTTACGACCGTGTTTTACGATACCGTTTTTTACGGTAAATTTTCAAAAAAAACGGTCGTTTTTTTTAACCCTCCACAATGGCCCAGTTTCGATTTATGAGCCAGGTTGGATCGGCTTGTGTTGATCCGACTTGTCACAAGTCGGGGAAACGACAAGCTCATCCCAGCTCGCTCGAGCCAAGCAGGCTCGGCTCGGACCCGTGCTCAGGCAGGCCTATGGCTAAGGCTGGCTGGGCTATGGGTGGGCAAGGCGATGAGGGTTGGACGGGGTGCAAAGGTGGACAATGCGTGTCGTTTAAGTTTGAGCAACACTACCTTCCCTTTCCCCCTTGTGGTTTGCTCAAGCTCTCATTTCCGGCAGCCTGCCCTCATTGCTGCTGTAATTTTCTCCTCACAGCGATCTTGCAAGCAACCAGCTGCCAGGCAGCATCCCTGCCACCATGACTGCCCTCAGCCTTCTGAAATATCTGTGAGTGTGATGCACACCTCGCAAGACCCTGTCACAACTGTTGCCCGTTCTGGTCCTCCCTCTCCCAGTCCGTGTTCACTCTGGTCTTCCTCTCCATCGCTTCGCCTCTGCCTCTTTCTGTTGCAACAATATCATCAGGTGCAGTAATATCATCAGGTGCAGCAATACCATCAGGTGCAGCAATATCATCAGGTGCAACAATATCACCAGGTGCAGCAATATCGTCGTTTGGCAACATCATCGGATCAGCGCATCAATGTATTCAGATGCAGCAGTATTATGAGGCACAGCAATATAATAAGGCGCAGCAATATTATGAGGCACAGCAATATTACCCGGTACAGTAATATCATTAGCATCAGGTATTTAGAGCAAAGCTACGGCTATGGCTGTACGACAATGGACACGCAACTACTGGTGAGCGAGGAGACTACATTTTGGGGCGGCTGGCTGGCAGGTTTGGATGAATAAGCGGGAGTGTGGCCAAAATAAGGGACGGAGGGTTGATGCCGATCATGAGGTAAGTGGAAAGTCGGTGGTGCAGCCTTGTCTCGGTGTGTTCCTTCCTTTCACCCCGTTACCAGCATTGCCCTAGTGTATTCTGGCTGGGAGCAATGCCTCACATTCTCGCATTAACCGATGCAGTGGGAGGTTGACGGTGAAGGGCCCAATGAGGGCAGGCCTTAGTTAGGAGAGGTGATGGGAGGAGGGCAGCTGTAGGCGTCCACAGCAGCTGGGAGAGATCCAGGGCCACGCTGGCCACAAATGCCGGCACGACCTCCAGTGCTGTGTCAATGAGGACCAGCCCACCCATTGACACCGGGAGGCTGGCGCTGGGCAATGCGCTTCGGGCACTCACTTTGCCCTCGTCACCAGCTACCGTTACCACCCTCAAAGTGAAACACCACCCTGACTGGTCCCTTGCTTAGTTGGATCTTACGTGTCTATTTACGTACGTTTTATTCCCTTGGCGCACCCCTGTCTCGCTGACTAACAGCCCCCCCACACACAATCCCTCTATCTATCCGTGCAGGTGGATATTCAACAATACGCTCTCCGGCTCTATCCCGGCTGGCATTGGCTCACTCACCAGCGTGATCTCCCTGTGAGGCTTCATCACTCACCAGGGAGAATTCTTGCTTCTGCTGCTCTTGACCGCATCAACCGCCACTTTTCCACTGTTCTTACACCCTCCGCCAATGTTTGTTGTTAGAACTTGAGCTTAGAATCCATGCATTAGTAATGAGCTCAAGGCTCTTTAAGTACATTGGAAATGGGCAAGCTAAGAGTGGAGAAAGAATCTGGGGCAATCCTAGGAAATTGGGGTAATCCCAAGGCAATCTCCAATTGGTGGGTTGGAGATTGTTTGGAGATCACATTTGGGTTTGGTTGGGATGTGGGAACCAAACACAAAGTGCAAACTACACTAAACTGGGATATAAAATAGTACAAGTACAAATGTGAGATTGAGGGCTAACATTAACACCGAAGGATGTGACTCCGACGACCGCAAGAGAAAACCCTGGAATCCGCGTGGAGCTGGCAGGATCACCGTCAGCGCCTGACATGTTTCGCGCTCGAAACCGGTCCCCCACGAACGAGCATAGACATGTGCTAGCGGACTCCCTGTCACAGTGCAAGCGGCCCACGTGAACATATGTGAAATCGGGCTGTGGTTGCCGCTAAAAGCGTCTAGTACAGCGCGTGTGCCACGGATGTAGCGGGGTGGAAGGAAAGTAGAGGTTGCAGTTGTTTCATGGTGGTCCCAAAACTACTCTAGTGAAGAGCGCGAAATGGACTATTTGTAGCCAGAATCGTTCATATAGACGAGTAACTGAAAGTAGTAGCATTCGTGTGGGGTTATCTAAGTTTTGTGGTATTTTAAGGACAGTTAACTACTACTCTAAGTTATACATGGGCAACGAGTGTAGGGTTTTTGCTCGACTCGTTCGAAATGCTCGTTGGGGGACGAGTGACGAGCCTGATTTTTTGGGAAAAAAACTCGCCCGAGGCGAGGCGAGTTTTACTCGTTTTATCTACTCGTCGCATGCTCGCCTTGGGGGACGAGCATTTTCGTGGAGATTACGTGCTCGACGATTTTTTTTTACTCGCGGGCGATTTCGCCTGTCAATCCGCGCGGATCGGCGATTTCGCCCGTCAATCCGCACGGATCGGCGATTTCGCCCGTCAATCCGCGCGGATCGGCGATTTCGCCCTTCAATCCGCGGGGTTCGCCGGCAATTGCGCTGCGGAGTCTGCCACTGGTCGTGTCAATCAATCACTACGCTCGGATCTTTCTTTTGGTCGAGAAAAATGAATATGCCTTTCCAACTGAATTGCCACTTGATCTCCCAACCAATTCGCCACCACTTACCTCTCGTCACCGCACTGAATCTACAAAACCCAACCACCAGATCCAGATTCAAGATCTAGATTCAGATCCCGTCACTTCAGAAAGCCACATCGTTCCTTGCGCTTGCCAGCCTATGGCCCATCACACAACCTCCTTCCCTCCCCCGCTAGTCTACTCCAATAATCCCCACTTAGCTAGCTGGACGCGTCCGTGGTAACTTAGTGCTTGCGAGTGGCGAGTCGAGCATGTCTTGTGCTCGGACGAGCTTTCCCCTAAACTCGCCCGAGCATGCCCTAATACGACGAGTCCCGAGTATGCAAAATGTTGAAAATTGCTCGTCAGAGTTTTGCTCAACTCGGAGCAAAAGCTCGTCGAGCAAGACCATGGACGAGTCGAGTATTGCTCGACTCGTCACTTTGACCATGTATACTCTAAGTCGACTAGCTACTGGCGTGGCGAAATGTAAATCGACGGGGAAGAAATCCCCTCGATTTACATTTGTGTTAAAGTTTCGGCCCTAACACTGTCGAAATCGGGTCGCGCACCTGCTCCGACCCGATTTCGACACTTTTGACCCGAAATCGGGTCGGGCCCGGTCCGGCCCGGCCCGGCCCGAAATGGTCTCTCGGGTCGGGTCGGGTCGGGTCGGTCCGTACGGGGCAGGGTTTCGGAAACCTTGACCCGACCCGGGGAAAGCCACGGGTCGGGTCGGGTCAGCCCGACCCGAGCGGGGCACCTGCTCAACTCTACCCCCATAGTCGTCAATCGAACTCATGGCAGAGAAGGTGGAGCGCAGAGCCTCATGGCGCCTAGAAGGCGATGGCGAGGAACCTTCTTAAGTGCTTGGTGAACAGATCAGCCATGTTGCAGTGCCACATACTCCACATTGAGCTGCTCCCGCTGGACAAGGTCACAGATGAATAAGTGCCGAAGTTCGATGTGCTTGGTGCGAGTGTGGTACACGGGATCCTGGGAGAGGTGGATGGTGCTCTTGTTGTCACACCAAAGGGTGGGTGTGGGCTGAGGGTAGCCAAGCTCCTGGAGTAGGAAGGTGAGCCAGCGGGCCTCCTGAGCTGCCATGGTGCCAGCATAGAGCTCTGCCGCACAGGAGGAGAGGGAGACCGCAGATGACCGGGTGGAGCGCCAACTGACAATTCCGCTCCCAAGGGTGAAGCAGTAGCCTTGGGACGAGTGTCGGTCGGTCTGGTCATCAGCCCAGGAGGAGTGTGTGTACCCTTCCAGTCGAGGAGGAGAAATCCCATCAAGGGTGAGGACATGAGATTTGGTTCCCCACAAATAGCGCAGCGCAGCACCCGCTTTGCCGATTTCCAGTGAAGGTCAGTGAAGCGTCCAGGAGCCACATAGCGAGAGAGGACACTGACAGGGTACGCCAGGTCAGGCCGGGTGCACATCATGACGTACATGAGGGACCCAACAAGCTCTGGGTATGGCTCACTGCAGGCTTCTGGTGTGGAAACAGCAGGAGCGGTGAGGAGGTGGTGTAGTGGCAGTGGAGTGGCCATGGGTGTGCACAACTCCTTCTCAAAGCGCTTGAGTACATTGTTGATGTAGAACTCCTGGAAGGGTGAGATGGTGCGAGCCTGACGATCACGAGTGATTTCCATCCCCAGGTAGTGCTTGAGGTCACCGAGGTCTATCATCAGGAGGGCCTTGCTCAGGGCCGCCTGGACAGAGGTCATCTAGGCTGAGTCCTTAACAACGAGGATGAAGTCATCGACGTAGACAAGGATGTAGACTCGCTCAGAGTGACGGTGAATGAAGAGAGTCGGGTCAGCTGATGATGGGTGGAAGTCCAAGGAGAGTTCTTTCACTTTGTTGTGCCATTCACGAGGGGCTTGTTTGAGGCCGTAAACAGGGCGATTCAGCTTCCAGACAGTGTTGGGAGGGAACTCTCCTGGAAAGCCTCCGGGTCGGTCCATAAACACAATCTCCTTGAGGTGTCCTTGCAGGAATGCTGAAGAGGCGTCCATGGATTTGATCTCAAAGTCTCGTGCGGCTACATGCAAGAGCGTGCGAACTGTGGGTGGTTTGAATGTGGGAGAGAAGGTTTTGAAGAAGTCAAAGTACTGCTGCTGAGTGAATCCCTTGGCCACATAGCGTGATTTGAACAGTGGTGCTTCGTCCGGAAGCTGCTTCACTCGAAACAGCCACTTGCCCCCAACGATGTTAACTCCTGGAGGTGGAGTTTCGTCGTCAAAGGAGTGGTTGCGGGTGAAGGCTTCACACTCAGCTTCCATGGCAGCGCGCCACTCGTCAGCATGGGGACCCGAAAGAGCCACTTGGACGGTGAGAGGGATAGGAATGGCCGGGTTCTTCGAGAAGTTGAGCGAGGGGGATTCAGTGATATCGGGGAAGATGTGCGAAAGCTGAGGAATGGCAGCGTGGAGATCACACAGCTCCTCATGCCTGTCTTCCAGAAGGGTAGATGGAACATCCCCCCCAGCAGGAGGAGTCGGAGTGATCATTGAGCATCGAATGGCAAGTGCCAGTGGAGGAGCAGCCCCATGCGACCGAGTGCCATGAGCAGGCGTTCCTGGAGGGGACGGCTTAAGGGGCTTGGGGGGAGGGATCGGCCGTTGTTGGTACGTGATTAGTTTGCTCGGCTGTGGGAGAGCAGGTTCCTGAGTGGAGGAGGGAACCGGGGGAAGAGGTGGGGCAGGAGGGTTCGACCGCCGATGTTATGTGATTGGTGCACTTGGTGGTGGGAGCGTAGTTGGCAGAGTGGCTGTAGGGGGAGATGGAGGAGCAGCTGCCGAGGACACCGGAGAGGTCGGGTCAGAGACCTCAGACGGGGATGGTGCAATGGCAGGAGAATTTGAATCAGAGACCTCAGACGGGGATGGTCAGAGACCTGAAAGTGTTGACTGGTGTGCGTATTGTATCAAATTCAGAAAATTAATCCATAGTATTGTTTTCCATTTTAAAAAACCACTGCAAGTTTTCCATTAGAGAAAAGTAAACCACCGTGGAAATATGTGATTGTAATGAATGCTATTCCTTCATTTGACACGGGTCAATGCCCTTGTGCTTCTCCATGTTAAAACCCCATGGTTTTGTTCTTCCTTTGTGCACTCAACTGCAATGACAGGTCCTTTAGAAGTAATCAGCTGACGGGTTCCATCCCTGCGGAAATTGGATCATTGCCATCTCTCTCATTTCTGTAAGGTTCCCCTCTGCCACATGAGCATAAGTCTGGGCCGAGCTGGCTCGTTTTGAGCTGTCACGAGCCGGAATGAGCCGGATCCGGCTTTTCCACGAGCCAACTGCCGGGTCTTCCGCGCAAGTTCTTCGAGTCCGGCCTGTCTAGACAGCAGCCGAGCCACGGAGCATGATTGTTGGCTTGACGAGCCAAGGCGACAAGCCGAAGCGGAACCGTCGGCTCAGCCTTATGCTCATGTCATGTGTACTCCCCTCCCTACTATCTCGTCTCTCAACTTCCTCACCTCCTTAACCTCTACTAGGGATGAGCAAAGGGCGAACACGAACATGTTCGTGTTCGCCCCTTCTCGAACACGTCCTTTTGCCGAACCGAACAGTGTTCGGTTCGGCGAACAGTTTAGCCAAAAACAGGTGTTCGCTGTTCGCCTATGGAGGCGTGTTCGGGCGAACCTCGAACACGTTCGTGTTCGACACGGGCGTTTTGCAGCAGCGCCACGAACACGAACGTGTTCGGGCGAACCTCGAACACGTTCGGGCGAACGATTTAAGCTGAAAAACAAAACCTGTTCGGT